CGTGATGCAAGAGCCATGAATTGTTGGCGAAAAGTTCAGGTCGTCTAACTTTTTCATGCAGCTTTTTCAGCACTTTCAAATAGTAAACTTAGTTATGAAGTTTGGTACAAATTCATAATGGATAATCCCTCTGATATCAAGAAAAGGTTAGCAACACCGTTACAACAAGTTCACGAACGTTATTGTCGGACATCGTATGTACAGGGAGTAAACAAAGCAGTTCTTGAGTGGGGCTTTGGCCTAAAATTCCATTGCAAAATTTTAATGACTAGGGCTAGACTATGAAATATTATGTTATCTGCTTTGTTGGCTTTAATAGTCTTTCTTCTTCTTCTGCTTATTTCTTATATTGCAAACATGAATTTTCAAAGGGATGTAGTATGAGAGAAAGTCACATTTCTTGGAGAAAAACAGAAAGAGATTCATAGGGGAGAAATTTGACATGTATTTATCTCAGAGGCAGCCTACTTGTTCCATTTCCTTCTGTCCTCACACCCTCACATCTGAAGCTTCCTTAACCTGGTTTATCCATTGTTAGGAAGGAAAGAAACCATGTAAGAGGTCAGGAAAGAGTGATGGCCAGGAACCTTCACTGTTTCAACCTCATGGAAAGAAAGAACAAGTCTATGTGTTGTGGTTCTCTGTCTTTGATAGCCCACCTCCTAGAATCACAGTCTAATTTTTCACTAAGAGTTTGAACAAACCCTTCCTCCTTGAGGCATGAAGATTAAAATTTCACACCCTTTGTCTTGACTCATCTTCTGGAGAGGGTTCATATGTTGTCCTTAGTTATCAACAAAATGAGAAATGGGATCAATAGGTAACTGATTTAGAGGAGCAGCCTAATTTTATATCACGGAGAAGAAGTGGCTCAATGTATGACCTTCAGTTATTCTTGTCTACCTCCTTTTTCAGACTTAGGCCCTTATGCCACTCCTTCTTGTCTTAGGACAGGTTTTCTGACATTATCCTGGTCTTCTTTCAGTACTTCTGAAACCATATATCACTCTTGCACATTTCCAGATAGCTCTTCTTTTGGTTCTCCTTTTCCTTGCCTGGAAATAAACTGAATTTGCTTGTAGGTCCCCTTCCTACTAAGCCCCTGCCCTGTGACTATAATTTCTGCTTCCATTTTGTTCCTTTCGGACTATTAATTGTTCCTTCGACATCTCATCTCATAGCTCATTTCTTCTTCTCTCATATTTATGTCACAATTTGATAATTTGAAAAAATTAAATGATTTTGAAGAAGTACCTATTTCTTTTGGAAATGCCTAAACTAAAAAGCCAACAGATGTTTTTATTAAAAAACATGCAGATTTAACTTACATCACACTTACATTAGTAAAAGTAAACTGTTTTTTATATTGACTTTTTTATTCCTTATTGTGTCACTTGCCTTGGTTCATTTTCTTTTGCTTTGTTCATTCATATCTTTTGTTCATTCTTTTGTTGGTATTGACTTGGTATATAGAGTTTTACTCCATTAATTTGGAAAGGATAGTATCAGTGAAATTTGCCATTGTCACATGTTGTTCCAATTTTGTTATTTGTGTATTAATTTTATCTATAGTGTCATTTGCTGCTCAGAAACTATTAATTCTAATGTGGTCAAATCAGTGAGTATTTGGGGTTTCTATTCTTTATACAATTCTAAAATCCTTCCCAGCCCTAGCATTGTAAAATGGTAAGTCCTTTTATTCTAACATTTTCCTGTTTTTATATTTTTACTTTTAAATATCATTCCATTTGGAGATCATTTTAGTTTTTATGGGTTACTGTAGTAAGGATAACTACATATCTATATGGATTATTCCAATGATATTTGTTAATTATAATTCTATCAAATATTTAAAATAATACCGTTATTATTTAACTTATTATTTATTTTATTATTGATAAATACTTTGTATTTATTTAATGAAAAGTAATATTTTAATATTCTAGCTTTGGGATACTGATTTTTGATAAGGCAAGCCACTTTTTGTAATTA